GTCTTGGGGTTCACCCCATGGTTCTGACCCCCCAGGGAAACGGGGACAGCCCTCCCACGGGGGGACCTGAAGGAATAACTCCAGACACACCAATGAAGAACAAAAGAGGACTTGGACTGGGTTATATTTTAAAATGCTCGTATATTTTCTTTTTTTTTTCCTCCTTTTTTCTTTTTCTTTTTTTCTTTTTTTTTTTTTTTTCACAATTCTAATACAATTGTTCATCAAAATACTGGCGTTTCCAGCAGCAATTCTTTTTTTTTTCTTTTTTTTCCTTTTTTTTTTTTTAAAGTGAATAATAATATACGGTAGTGATTTCACAGTAAAACAGACCTGCGGGAACGCCGGATATACATGACAAAAGACACCCCCAGAACCAGCCCGCCCCTTCCCTCCCCTCCCCAGCAAAAAAGTTTTTGGAAGTGGGGGGAAAAAATAAAAAGTTCATTCAAAAAAATTATTTCAAAAGAGATTTCATATAAAGCCTTTAAAACACGGTCAAAAGTTTCTCCCTCTTCTGCAGACCCCTGTCCCTGTGGCTGAACACTTACAGAGAGAACGAGAGAGAGAAAAAAAAAATAGAGAGAGTTTATAACAATCTCTGTAGCAGAAATAAAACAATCCAGAAAGAAAATATCCAAGAATACGTAAGGGATAAAATTACATTTATACAAAAATAGATTTTAACTTTATTGATGCTTTAGATATTTTTCCTTATCTTTTATCTTTTTTTTTTTCTGTCATTCTAAATTTTAATGTATTTTATTTTTTTTTAGCTATGCATCCCATAGCCAAGGCATCCATCACTAAGTGTTGGGAATTGCTAAAGCTATTTTTACTCAAAACCACCTGCTGCTCAAAAGAAAAACAAACCACAAACAAAACAAACAAAAAAAAAATCAAAAAGGCATCTTAAAATAGATGCATTTCCTTTGTCTCGAGGAATAAAGATCCAGATTTGGCATGTGCCAATTCGGAAAGGGCTTCAGATACAAGGTACTCACTTACATGAAGCAAAAGAACAAACAAACAAAAAAAAAAAAGCAAGAAAAAAAATAATAGGAAAAAAGAATCGACTTAAACAAAAAAAAAAAACCACCCACAAAAAGTCTGTAATTGCTACGGCTATAATATATGTATATGTGAGTGAGGATATTTATACAGTGTATATATCTACAGTACATACATGTATACACACGCACATATATATCAACTTAAACCAGACCATGCACGCTCGGCTCTGATGGGGACAGCATCAGCTCTTCAGCCACGGTCCCGCCACCGCCAACCCTTTGGATGGCCAGGAGCTGAGCCCAGCCCGATGCCACGGCTCTGCTCCCCCGGATTTGGGGGGCCGCTGGGTCCAAAGTGCAGAGAAGCCGCCGGCGAGCTTGGAGGGGGTCGGTGTGGGCTGCCTACACCCATGGGGAGATGAAGGTCCTTTGTAACTCGGCTGCTGGGGTCCCACCTGTCAGCGGTGCTCAGCCCTTTGGTGCGGAGGGATGCTCAGGCAGGTTCAGCATCCTCTGGGTTCGGCTCGGTTTGGGTTCGGGCTTGGTTGAAACGCCCACGTGCAAGAAGGCAGCGAAGGACATCCAGGGTGGCATGCGGGTGGCTGAAAAGCTGATGTTTGTGCTATCTTTAGAAAATTAAAGATTGTCCCACCAACAAAAAAGGAATTAAAAAAAAATTAAAAAATAGATCACCCTAATCAAACCAGATTTTGACAAGAGTACTAAGATCTGGTTAAATGAAAGTCCTACCTCTCTAGTGAATAATGTGCCTTTTTTTTTTTTCCTTTTACCCATGTATCACCTCTTCAAACAAGCATGTAGTATATTTATAATTATTATGATGAGGACAAAAAAAAAAAGTGAAAAAGAATACAAACGAAAGACTCAAACTCATGCAAAAGCATGTTGCTTTAAGGCTGCTGTGGCAGATGTTAGTGGATGCACAAAAGCTTTTCCTTCTGACGGGAGGGCTGGGCTGGTGACGCTGGAGGGGGAGGCACGGGGCGGGCTGGGGTCCGGGCTCTGGGGGGTGAGCAGGACCCATTGGTAAATGCCCGGTGTGGCTGCTGGGGGAAATCACAAGTTTTACTGAAAGCAACAGAGTCATGTTGAGTTACAGCGGCGC